CAGAGTTATGAGATTGGTTTGTGTGCCTCTGGGGCCATGGCTGTGCCAGAGAGCCACTCGTGGGGGGCAACTATCGGCCTTGGCAGGGCAGGAAGGATGTGTCGATTGTGCCCCCCCCCCATCCCATGAGGCCACAGTTGCCCTATCACCACCGGCTCATCCAGCTCATACCTGGCTGTCCAATAAGCTCTGAGGTGGCAGCCACTTTGCTGCCAAGGGGCAGGGGAAGGAGGAAGAGACAGACGCCCTTTCCCTCCTGGGGAGGGGGGGAGGGCACAGCACCATAGTTCAATGCATAGTCCATTCATATTTCTGCCAAAAGAAGTCGGGCTCTGAATTAGGTCTGTATGGCTCTGGAGCCATGACCATGCCAGAGTGTCGCTTGTGGGGGGCAACTCTTGGCCTCGGTAGGGCGGGCTCTAATAGAATTCATCTGAGAAACTATATTTCCCTTAAAATGATAATCTGTGGCCAATCAACTATAAGTCTAGATTTTTCCCCAGAATTTATTATAAGATTTTTCCTTAATACATTGACCCAAGTTATCAAAGTAATCAAAATATCAAGGAGGAAAGATATACATTTGGGAAATGACCGTGAACAGAGAGGCACATCATGCATTATACGTAAAATGTAAATTGAAATAACAATAAGATAAAATTACATCCTCATCTAGTGGTCAAAATTAAAACAATGACAATTTAAATTGCCGATCAAATGTGGAACAGCAGAAACCCTCAAATATTGCTGTGGGTATGAAAAAACTACAGCTATCAAAGGTACACAAAAAAAAAGTATGTCAAAAGCACAGACATTAGCACTTTTGCGATCCATGGAGCATTCATAATAATTCTTTTCAAAAAATAATTGAAAATTTTACTTTTTTCAAAGACAAGCAGACATTTGCCATATAACTAATCCACATATCTGTCTTTTGGTATTTATAAACTGAGCTTATGCACATACATCCACACAAAAATCTGAACATGGAGTTTTGTAGCAGTTTTATTCATGATAGCCCAAATTTGGTAGTAAAGAAGATACCTCTCAGTAAGCCATGAAAAATCAAAAACAAACAAATAAAACCCCAGAAAACTGTTTTTTTCAATGCCTACTGATGAATTAAGCCAAAAAATCTAAGGCAGGAGAGGTACTACAGGGTTAAGGTGCTTTTCTTGCACATAGCCAATCTTAGTTTGATACCGGGAACTGTATGTGATCCCCTTAACCACTGACAGGAGTTACTCTTGATCAAAGAGCCAGAAATAAACCCTGAGCATCACCTGATGATATAAAGCTATAATGTCACACTTTCAACTGTGCAAAAAAAAAATCCACTACTTTAAAATAAGTCTAAAAAAAACTTGTGCTATATTAGTATAGCCATAATACCTTGAAAAAGGCACTTTTAAAAGTTATTATTATATATAGACATCTTTAGGATTTGTTGTTATTATGAATTCCAACACAGAGACAGTGAAACAAACAAATAAACAAAAAAACAAGGTTACCCAATTAAGTAGCAACCTAAAGCTCCTCTGAAAAAAGTCTTTTTAAAACAAATCAGCGAGAGACTAACACGCAGTATAACAAAAAAAGTGTGCATCTGACTTGGGTTTGATTCCTGGTACCACAAGGCATCCAGAGCATTGCTCGGTGAAACCCTGGAAGAATTTTGGGTGGTCAGGACTATACCTAACAATAAGGGACCCACACAACATAGTATTCTTGTGAGCTAGCACTACACCTTTGGTTGTCTGAGAGTTGATGGCTGAGATTTGCTTGTGCATAGTGAGTAATAATTGGAAGGTCAAAGTAGAAAGATCCTTGGGTGAGCATATTAATAAACATAAATGCTTATTATGGATATTGAAGCATTCTTTGTACCATTCCAAAAGTAGACACCCAGAAAAATCCCAGACCTGAATGATTGCATTAAAGATTTTCTTGACTTACGTAAAGGTAGTCAAGAATGATGATTTGGGAACAGCAAAAAGATGTCTAATATTAATTATGAGTTATATAAACACTTAAATATTAAAATTATTTTTTCTCTTTATAATTTATTCTGCAATGTAAAAAAAGAAGCTGAGAAATGAGCACTTCCTAACACCCTAAAAATTCCTTATGACTCTCAAGAAGACATTGTATAGACATTGTACTTCATAATTGAAAAGGAATATTAGTATAAATAAAGATCTTGCTTGAATATAAAGTAAAAGTCTAAACCGGTATCAGTCACCTAAGCATGTGGAAAGATTAATGTATAAGAAAACTATGTAAACCTATGTTGTTTTAAATAATTAAATTTGAAATTTTAGTATTTGTTAGGAAAAGTATATATTTTAATTTATATTTGTATCACAATAATAATGATTTACAGGAATGATAACAGAGCAAGTGTTTAAGTGCACTTTTACAGTATAATACCATCCTCTATGCATGATTGGTGCCTGTGTAAATATATAAAAGTTTTAAAAATCTAGTTAAAAATACTCATTACTGCTAAAAGAATAGAAAAAAACAGAAAAATGGAAATACATCATTGTATATGGATGAAAGGTTCAATATAGTTAAAATAATCATCTTTTCCAAAGCACTATATGGATTCAATGCATTCCATACAAAATATCCAGAAAATTTCAGATGTGCCAAATGTTTTCAGAATTAAGCTGATGTAATAAATCTCCTCAAATAGCCAAAATAATTATAGGAAAGAAGATGTGAGGTTTTTCTTTCCCCAGCTTTAAGTATACCAGTAATAAAGTCAGGATGGTATTGAAATAAATATAGAATCTCAGATAAATTGAATAAAAATTAAAGATCAGAAGTACCCAAAGGTATATGATCAGATTATCTTTGACAAAGGAGCTAATGTCAAGTGGAGCAAGGATGGCCCTTTAGCAGAAGGGTTTTGGAAAAACTGGTATGCCACAAGTTAAAGAAGAGAAATAAGAACTCATCTCATGCATCCCACAAAAAGTCAATTCAAAGTCGATTAAAAATCTTACTATCAACCTCGATTTATAAATCATAACCCAATTCCTGTGCAATAAAATCTGTACATAAGTTTTGACTTCTCTAAAGCTTTACTACTAACATTTTGGTACTGATAACACCCACCAACTGGCCCCCTGGCGCCATGTAATCCCATCAGCGGCCAAGACTCTGAGACTATAAAAAACAGCTCCCGGAGGAGAAGAGCGCAGTCTCCTGCCCCTGCGCCTGGCTATTCCTCGCCGGGGCCCCTTAGAGGGGAGCGGGTTGAGCTTTCCTCCCCTCCCTGGCCAGGGCCCTGGCAGCCGAAGACCTCCAGGACCAGCCACCACCATGCTGAGACCACTCTCCGCACACCTGAAGGTACCGGCAGAGGAACAAAGCCACGTGGGTTCCGGGGCCGAGATCTCCAAGCCTACTCGGATTGGAGTCGAGCATCCTCCACTCAGATCCTCCAAATTCCAGTAGGCGGGGGTCACACCCACCAACTGGCCCCCTGGCGCCGTATAATCCCATCAGCGGCCAAGACTCTGAGACTATAAAAAACAGCTCCCGGAGGAGAAGAGCGCAGTCTCCTGCCCCCACGCCTGGCTATTCCTCGCCGGGGCCCCTTAGAGGGGAGCGGGTTGAGCTTTCCTCCCCGCCCTGGCCAGGGCCCTGGCAGCCGAAGACCTCTAGGACCAGCCACCACCATGCTGAGACTATAAAAACCAGCTCCCGGAACCGCGCGGCCACATTCGCGGCCGTGCGACATCTTATTATGACATCTCATTCCTACTTTGACAAACTGGCAGGCTACCGAATGTAGCCTGCCCACACGGCAGAGTCTGGCAAACTCCCCGTGGCCTACCCAATATGCCAAATTCCAGTAACAATGATGGGTCTCATTCTCCTAAAGAGCCTTGAATAAAACCTCAGGGCCAGGATGAAGGAGACGTTACTGGGGCCTGCTCGAGGCAATTGACGAATAACAGGATGATCTGTGATCTGTGATAACATATCAGTGAACATATTTGCTATTTGATGATCTTGGCTGTTCTATCTATATATGTAAGCAATGAAAGAGTAAAAGACATTACATGTTCATAAAATTATTATGTAAAATCTCAAACATACAGTTCTTTGTAATTTCTATCATAACAGAATTAGTTGGATTGCCATTTAAAAATTTATAGTATCTATACTAGCTGGACACGTAATGCAATTTGAAGACAACTGCTCGACTAGAGCCGTTACTGACTGGATTCCAGGTAATATCAAAAGAATGCATGGCCGCCCACCTATGAGATGGTCAGACTTCTTCTAGACCCTGAACAGGGTCTGGAGTGATAACACAGTGGGTAGGGCGTTTGCCTTGCACGTGGCAACCCGGATTCGATTTCCAGCATCCCATATGGTCCCCAAGGCACTGCCCGTAGTAATTCCTGAGTGAAGAGCCAGTAGTAACCCCTGTGCTTTGCCAGGTGTGACCCAAAAAGAAAATAAAAAAAGACCCTGAACAAATGTTTTGAGATTCTTTGTGTTCCTGTAGCGAGCAGACGCCATGACACCATTGGGCTACACTAACAAGGGAGAGGGACAAATGGAGATGTTACTGGCACCCACTCGAACAAATCGATGAGTAACTGGACATCAAGTGATCAAGTGATCTATACACCATGAAAAACTATATAATATTCTGATTGTCTATATATTACATTAGATTAGTGTAACAGTGGTTGAAAGTAATTTAAATTAACTGGCAACCACTCCCCTACCTGTATAAACCCACATGACAAGACTTAAGTAAAAGTAAAGTAAAGTAAAGGCCCTCCCGTTGATCATCAATTTGCTCGAGCGGGCCCAGTAACGTCTCCATTGGAGACTTTGTTGTTACTGTGTCTGGCATATCGAATACTCTCGGTAGCTTGCCGGGCTCTCAGAGAGGGACGGAGGAATCGAACTCGGGTCGGCCATGTTGGCTGCATACAAGGCAGACTCCCTACCCGCTGTGCTATCGCTCCAGCTCCAGTTAGCTCAGTTGGTTAGAGCGTGGTGCTAATAACGCCAAGGTCGCGGGTTCGATCCCCATACGGGCCAGTGTGGTTTATTTAGGAGGCTGGAGCGATAGCACAGCGGTAGGGCATTTTGCCTTGCAACGCAGCCAACATGGCCGACCCGAGTTCGATTCCTCCGCCCCTCTTGGAGAGCCCAGCAAGCTACCGAGAGTATCTCGCCCGCACGGCAGAGCCTGGCAAGTGACATATTCAATATGCCAAACACAGTAACAACAAAGTCTCCAATGGAGACGTTACTGGGCCCGCTCGATCAAAGACTTAAGTAATTTTATAATTTTCCTTCATAAGATTTCATTGGGCTGGAGCGATAGCACAGCAGGTGGGGCGTCTGCCTTGCACACAGCCAACAGGCCGACCCGAGTTCGATTCCTCCGCCCCTCTCGGAGAGCCCGGCAAGCTACCGAGAGTATTCGATATGCCAGACACAGTAACAACAAAGTCTCCAATGGAGACGTTACTGGGCCCGCTCGAGCAAATCGATGATCAACGGGAGGGCCTTTACTTTACTCGAGCAAGATTTCATTAACTATAAAGGAATGCACAGTTTGGTTGAGCTGTTTTCAACTATGGGTATGATATAGAATTACCTGGAGATGCTTTATATAAATGCAGAGTATTGTCTTAGATTATACTAAGTGTTAACTTGAGAAATCTAATTGAAAACTGTGATAAGCTGTGATAAACTACACTATCTACTAAATTTGTTTCAGGAAATTTATGATACAAATAAAAGCTCAATTTTTTTTCTTTAAATTATACAGCTCTTCATGGTATAAAAACTAATGAAATAGATTACTAAGGATAGCTTTTCTCTTGAGGGACTTTTAAATGTGGCAATATTTTTAAAATAATATATTTTACAATTTATCTCTAATAATAATGATAAAGCTCATGTGTGGATAAAAATAAAATAGCAGCTTTTAAATAATGAATTATTTTCTCTTGGAAGAACAATTAAAACTTATTTAACATGTTCAAAAGATAGCTTTCTGTGTATCAGCTTTGCAAAGTTAACAAATACTAGAAGTAGCTTTAAAGAAAAAGAGTGTATTTTCCAGAACAGGATGTAAGAGGTAACATCATATGGAATTCCCTGTTATATAATTACTAAAGAATTAGTATAATTTAGAATATGTTAGTGATCTAGTTTTCATGATATCATCAAGAAGATTGAAATTTAAAACAACCAACTCTGCACTTTCAGTATAAATAGCAGGAACTAGAAAGTCAAGGTTCTTTTGGGCCTTTTTATCAGGTGAGGCAATATTTTCTCTACTACTCCCAGGAACCCCAGATGGAAGTTTATGCTTGCCAAGTCTCCAACATGCTCTTGTTTGTGTATTTTTCCCTCTGGGGTACACTTAGTAGTGCTCCTGGGTAACTTCTGGCTCTGTACTAAGGACTTACTCTTAGCAGAACTCAGGGGACCTATTGGGTGATAGAGATCAAACCAGGCCAACGAAACTAGAAAGCAAGTGCCCTACCCATTGTTGTATTTCTTAGAGTTTGCTGTTGAAAAAATAAGAGGAGGAAAATGGAGCATGGCAGAAAAATATCACTTTTAGAAGATGATCTGACATATGAATTTGGATTTAATAAGAATTCTCTATTATCACATTTTTATAGCTTTGTCTTCCATGTAATTCTACTTAAGAAAACTGCCTCTGTGTGTGTGTGTGTGTGTGTGTGTGTGTGTGTGTGTTTGTATGGCTGTGTGCATGAGTGCATATGCATGATCATGGATCTTTTAAACATTTGCTGAAAGAACTAAAGTGTATTATATTTTGAATGGCAACAAGTTATTGAGTTTTTCCATACCTTCCCTGAGAAAATAAATAGAACATTTTATGTTTAGCAAATTCAAAAATAAGGAGATTCTAAAGTAATGCTTCAAAACAGCGTTGCTGTGTGATTGAAAGAACAAATGTATTAACTTTTTCTAAAATCTTTACAGAAACACAATTTCAGATGAATTCCTCTAGAAAATATAACAAATCTATAAAAGGGAAGTAACAGAAAATCCAGTTCTGCATATAGAAACCTGGTAAAGAACAATCAAATCATACCAGCAAAAGAGAGCTCACGATCATGTATTATTAGAAGTGTCTCTGAAGCAATGATTCCTCCAGACCCTGAGTCAGGCTGAGTTTTATCTAGGGCACCCCGGAGCAGGGTGGTAAGCCTATCAGCTGCCCTAACAAAGCCTGGCAACCAAAAGCCTCCATAATACAATTGCCATCCTACTCAAAGCTGGACTCCACAGGGTCAGGACAAGCCTCTTCCAGGAATGAATCTGTTGGAAAATTCAGGGTACGTGGGCTTTGTGACTGAAATCTCCAGGTTCTCACAGAGTCAGGGATGGGCGACTTCCCTTGCATCTCCCTGTTCTTCTGGTGGTGGAGCTGGTGGTCATTCCCATGAACTGCCTCTCACACTATATAAGCTCATTAACTGGTCATGATCCAGAGACTCATAAATAAATCTTGAAAAAGATCAACCAACTGCAGAGATGCTTCCTTACTCCAAAGTCACCATCCAGTTAAAATTTTAACTCTAGCTGTATCGCCCCATTCAACATTTTAAAATTTTTGGAGTGCATGGCTGCATGCACTCCATCTCAAACTCATCACCACTAGTATACCAGGAGTAGCACTCCACAGTGGATGGGTTGTAAAGTAGAAGTCAATTAATCTTGATTAAGAAAATATTAACACAAAATGCTTAACCTAACACATGTTAGTAATCTCTTATACAAGTGCTTAATAACTCCAGAGTGAGAGACAATGATAGTCTCACACTTTTTTCATCATTCTTAGTGAATTATCCGTGACATGCAATAAAAAATGAATTATTTAGGGCCTACTATTGGGGCAGGCTTGGGAAAATTGGAAATGATGGTGGTGGAAAGATGTAGTGGTGGTGGGATTGGTGTTGGAATATTGAATGTGAAAAATCATAATGAACAACTTTATAAAAATAAAATAAAATTTAAAAAAATGTGTCTCTGAGGACTAGAGAGTAACCTGCTACCTTTCAGAGAGTAAAGCTGAGTGTTTCCTAGGCACAAAGGCAGGAGTAAACTGTGCAATGATACACGTGACCACAAAAAGTCTTTAACTTTAATCTGTTTTATTTACCACATGTTAAAAGACAATGAGGATTCAGTGGTTTGCATGATGTCTCTACTATCTTTCAGACACTATCACATCCTTTAGCTTCTCAAGCAGTTTTCCCAGAATATACCATGCCAACCATTTCCACAATTTTATTTCATCACCTTGTATGCTTTCTCCAGTTTGGCTGCAATCTGTAGCTATTTGGTTGGTGGTTTGGCTGAGTGGCTTCTTTGTTTACTTACTTTGTTACTTGTCTGTATTTTCCACAAAACACAAGCAGCATAACAACTTCAATAATTGTCTTGTTTACCAGTTTCATCCATAGAATGGACAGTAGGAAGAAATAAATAACCACTAACTGACCGAAGATGATTATTTCTTAAATCACAATCAGTAATCTGTAAAGTGTGCATGTCTTGTCTTTTTTGGGGATGAAAAAAATGGGAGGGGGGTCAAAGGACAAACCCAACTGTTCTCAGAGTACAGCATTTGAGGGTCATTGCTGGATTTCTTCTCAAAGGACCTCTCAATGCTGTCACTTAGACCCAGAGTCTCCTCAAGCTAAGCAGTTGCTAGACCACTGAACCACATCCCTTCCCTATTATCTTTTTAAAACTGTATTTGTTTACTTCTGTGTGCTTTTGCTTTGGGGCTTTTGTGATCAGAGTTTACTCTTGGCTCTATGCTCAGGGATCACTCCTGGTGGGGATAGGAGATATGTGCTTCAGAGAAATTGAACCCAGGGGAGCATCCTCCCTGAGATACTGTCACTCAGACCCACATCCCTAGCCTCTCAAACTGGGCTGTGTGTTGGCAGCAGAGGAGGAAAAATGAAAGTGATAAATAATGATAAATAAGTGATGATGATAAATAATGCTTTCTGAGCAAATGTTGACAATATAACTAAGGAACTTTATTAGAAACGTTTGATTTTTAAATATAGCTATTGATAAGGAATATAGTGCAAATATATGTGAATTTTTAACATAATTGTAAAGGGATTTTTTAAAAAAATTTTATTAGTTAGACACCATGAGGTACAGTTTATTTTGCGCTTGGGTTAGTCTCCAATGGAGATGTTACTGGGCCCGCTCGAGCAAATCGATGATCAACGGGAGGGCCTTTACTTCAATTATACAATGATCAAATATCCATCCCTCCACCACTGCCCATTTCCCACCACCACGGATCCCAGTATCCCTCCCACCCCCCCATCCCCCCTATCCCACCCTGCCTCTGTGGCAGGGCTTTCCCCTCTGTTCTCTCTCTCCAGTAAAGGAATTTCTTTATACATGACTTGAAACTAGGACTGTTATATATTTTCTTCTCAATAGAATTTTAGTGGTTTTAATATTTTAGTGAACTACCTTTAAGGCACTTCATATTCTGTGATGCATCAATTGGAGATTCTTATGAAATAAATAAAATAAAATTATTCTTTTAGGTAATCAACAATGATAATATGATAATTTATATAATGTGTAAGGTGATTTTAAATGGCACAGCTTATACTGATTCTGTTTTAAAACATAGAAAAAGCCAAAACCAACTGATAAATGCAAACTAAGGTGTTATTCATCTATGCTGTCTTAAAAGGGCTGGATTTCTCAATGTTAACCTGCACTATAAATGGCTTTGCTTGCAATGCAGGAATTGCCCTGAGAGTGTTATCACTATAAAAGCATCGTTGTGTTTATCTTGGCAGGAAATCTTTTTGTTCATGTCAATTTTGAGTTCTCATTTATGCAGCTGTTTGGTCAATTTGAAATGTTTTGCTCAGAGATGACTCAGGTAAGATTTTGAATGCATTTTTCTTCAGAAGGAATCCTCAAATATCATCGAAGGCATATTTTTCTGAATAAGAATTCCATATTAAGTAATTTCCATTCAGACATTAATATTTTTG